CGGAGTTAAACCACGACAACAGGATAAGTTTGTCTGAGGTATAAAGAAGAGGTATGCCTGCACTGCACTTCATAAGCAACAAAAATCCACTCTCTTATTATTCTGGATTATGTAAAAAACAAGTTAATACACCAGCCTAACCGAAGCAGGTACCATCGGCCTCTCAGACAGGCTGCCTGGCTACTGACTGTTCTCAAATGACAGGCAAATAAAGGACCTTGTTATTCTACAAAGGATGCTAACATACATTTCTAGTTTTCTTAACTGCTTCACTCTTATCAGGTATTCAGTTTACATACGTAATCTGCCAAGGTCTCGACAACTATGGCAATAGTGACAACTGCAGTGTTTTCAAGATACGAAAAGCACATTTCTTCAGAGGCTGGAGTTCCTTTGTTAGTAAACACTGCACTTATTGTACTCTAAGATGACAAAGTATGTATTTTAGCAACGTTACCACTGTTCTACCACATGAGTATCTACTGAAGATACAAACTATTATGCAGTAGTATGCACACAAGAAAGCCTGTAAGAAGTTGTAAGTAAGAGCCCTGAAAGCCAAGTGAACTTCTCAGAGCGGCAAAACAACCTTTTGACATTCCAGAAATCAGAAGTAACAGAAGCACAGAATAAAGCAAGTCATGAGGCACCCAGGGAGATTGTTCTTATGCCACTGGGAAAGCATCTTCATGTTGGATTAAATTTCAGTTTATTTCTAAATTAAGCCTAGCAGTGAGAGACAGCACATGCTCTACACAGAAGGTTCACTACTGATGGTCTGATAGAAGTGCCTGGAAGACACCAAAGCTGTGTTTTCAAAGCAGTCAGGATTCTTATTCTAATTTTAATATTCCATACAATGTTATACATCTTTTAACTAAACTACTTAACAGTGAAAGTCATTACAGAAACTGTTTTTTATCAGTTAATCCTGATAAGTCAATCTTAAATACAATAGAAAGATTTACAAATGATTTGCAGTTTTATTACCTTTCCTAATCACGATGACTTGAATTTCAGGCACATTATAACCAGAACACATTAATTTTCACGTGTTGGTAATGCATGGGTCACAAACATTTCTTTGTTGCTTCTCAAAAGCTCAAAAATACGATTCCTGACAGCAGTGCAACACTCGGGTCAAATTTAACAATTCATCTCCCTGTCCGTGCCTCCCAGACAGCTAACGTAACATTGCTCTTTCAGAAAAGGACATTTACCTGACAAGTATACAGGCACATGCCAAATAAAAGTTGGTTTGTACCATTACAATTTAATTGCTAAACAATGACTGAGTGAGGAAAACAAGTCAACTCGAATTACTGACATAGGAACTCAAAACCCAAGTAGCTAGACAGTGACTTTGAAATATTAAGACAAGTTTCGCATAACATAGGCCCTCCAAAAGATAAAACTCTGCAGGTCTTTACTCCTAAAGAAGAAAACCTAACAGCAGATTAACAGCATAAAGAGGAGCCTTCGGAAGCAATACATATTTTAACATCACACTGAAAATTAAATCATTTAGACAGAACTCACAACAAACTACTAACTCTTCTTTAGACTGAAACAGGTAATATTTCTTCAAAATGCACTACTCTATAAAGAGTTTGTGTAAGAATACACAGCTGCGCTCAGAAGTTCTTCAGATCTGAAGAGTTGGTGGACTTTTAGCAAGTCTGATGACACACACAGTTATACCTTTCTCCTGTTGAGTCAAGCTTTTTTTAAAAACTTCTATGATCCACTAATACACAAAAAAGGAAAAGAATATAGCTTATCTTTTCTCTCCTCAATTCACCAGGAATATTTTGTTCAATGAACAACAGTTTCGAATTGAGATTAGGATATAATGAAATTAAAAAAAACGTAGTATCTTGAAGCATTTTTTCACAGTTACATACAAAACACAGGCACTGATACATTATCATTTAACAATGGATATATTCACGTATCACAATCCTGAGGGAATGGGACTGCAGTGGATAATCCAAGCAAAGCGGACTTGCAAATTTCCTTTGCACTATGTGAATTGTACGCACGTGTTGTACTCTGCATAACCTCCCCTCTCCTTCCTTTTAGTTATTTTTTTAAGATTACATATATATTCAAAAGTACTCATGTTCTGCAGTAGTCTTCCTGGTTTTATGCCCATTTTGTCCATTTTATTGGTCCGTTCCCATTTCACATACTTGGTGTATCATAATAACTAGAAAAAATGCTCCATTTAGGTACTGGACAAAAGAGATCTATCCATTGTGCTCCTTCACACTACAATAACATAAATGACAAATTTTAGCATTTCAAAATTCAACATTGTTTCTAAGCAGTAGCCACATAGAAAAATTCTAGTATTTCCATTCCACATCATCATAATCTACTCTGCTGACTGGCATTATGAACTAAAAAGTAGATATGAGAAGTCAGAAAGAGTAATTCTAGGCATTTATAGCAAGGGAAAACATTTTTCTTTTTAAAATGGAAAAACACTGCAGAAATTAACAGTGAAAGAATGTTAGGATGTTTTTTAAAATTATGTTGCCCATGTGTTTCATTTTAATCTCAAACAGAAGACCCTGAAATATGTAACTGTGGCAGCTAAAGTCAATGGAAGTCCAGACGGCCATGCGACAGTTCCCAGCTGATCATATATATTCCCAAACACTTTTTCATGCCACCATTAGCACCAAGTGTGTACAGTTACCCAATGAAAACAAGTTAACAGCCTAAAAGCTAGCCACTGCATGCTTCCACAGTGCTAATACCAGTGCAAAGGATGGGAGAGAGAGAGGCTGAGACTATCAAAATCAGAATTTCAAGCAAGATGCTATAGTCGAAACACTCCTGCTAACATAAAAACACTGAAATACAAACTCTTCATTGAAGTCTGGAAATAATACTGCATAAAAGATACTGTACAATTCACAGATTCATAGAATCTTTGAGATTAACTACCGACACAAGTATATCGCTACCTATAAAATGGAAGTAACTTGAAATGTGACCACAGAAACCAACCCAGATAAACACTATTACATATACATACAAATTTTACTTACTGCATAGTGAATCATGAATATACCATATTAATTACTTTAAAGTACTAGGAAAACAGAGCAACTTAATTCTTACAGTACCTCCGATTTACTTGCATCTCAAGTTGTTGTATTTTTTCCAAAAGCCCTTTTTCAGCAGCTTCCCTCTGTAATTCAAACTCTTTGCAAGCAGTTTGTACTGCAGTCTCTTTTTCACAAGTGAGTTTCTCAATGAGCAACTGCCTGTCTTGTTCTTGGTTAGACACTAACACTTCTTTCTCTTCCTTAAGCTTGTGGATAATAGCTTCGTATTTTTCCTGCTGCTCGCAGAGAGACAATTTTTCTGTTTTTTCCTTTTCTAGGGCATTGGCTTCCAACTCTAACTTACTTTGCAGTTCCGTTATTTGCTCTGAAAGTCTTTTTTCTGCCTCAGAAGTTTTTTGATGAAGAAGTGTTACTTTATTTAGTTCAGTTCTAAGCAAATTTGATTCTTCTTCGTATCTGTCTACTAGCTCAGAAATGCACTGATCTTTCTCAATTGTCATCAGAGTCCTTAGTTCTGATAAGACCACTTGATATTCATCAGTGTTAATTTGTATTTTATTGTTTAATTTATCTATCTCTCTTTTTAAGCTTTCAGTTTCTTTATCAATCTGAGATCTTAAGGTCTCTTGTTGCTGGTTTCTGCTTTCTTCCAAAAGCAGCTTCATTTCATCAGTTTCTGCCTCTTTCAGGGCAAGTTCAACTTCTAATTTGCACCTCAAATCAGAAAGATCTGAAACCTTGAGTTGTAACTCTTCTACCTGTTGTTGCTTCTCCTGCATAACTAATGCATGAGATTCCTGCATTTGTTCAAGTCTATGCTGGTTCTCTTTTTTTACTTTATCTAAGCAGTCCTTGTGCTCAGCTAGCACCTTCTCAAACTCCTGTAGATGCCTGGCTTGTAGGTTGTTCTCCAGTTCTTTTAAATGGCTTTGCTCTAAACTTTCGAGTTCCGCCCTCAGGAGTTGTAGTTTTTCATTGTTTTCAACATGAAGTTTTTTCAAGTCTTCAAGTACTATCTCCCGTGACTCTCTCAGTTCCTTAATTTCAGAATTTTGTGTCTCCATTTGGCATTCCAATTGAAGTAATTTTTGATCTTTCTCATTCTGAAGGCAAACTACAGCTTCTTTCTCATTTTTCACCATTGCAAATTCATCATTCTTATTCTGAAGAACTTCCTCAAGGCCTAGTAAGTCACCTTTTAACTTTGTAATCTTCTTTTTATTTTCTTCACCATCCTCCACCAATTTATTAATTTTAGTTTCATATTCACTTTTCAAAGACTGTAATTCTTTTTGATGTTTATCTTTTAGTGTTTTTTCAAGTGAAAGTTTTACCTTCTCAACAGTATTTACTATTTCTAACGAAGTGCATTTTAAAGAATTCGAAAAGTCACACTGTTCTCTTTGTACAAGTGTTCTAAAGTGGCAAAGATCTTCTTTTATACCTCTTAAATGTACCTTTGAGTCTTGGGCAATAACCCTACACTTCTCCACGCAAACATTGTGAGAAGCATTGTCTACTGAAACATCCTTTACACAAGACTTTGTGTCTTGCATACGTCTACTGTCTATTGCATTGATAACTGAAGAATAAAGAGATTCCACCATCATTTCTGGACTTTGTGGATCACTTATTACATTAGGAGATACTGGATTTTCTTCTATTACAAATTCATTTACTGCTGACATGAAGTCGGATTCTGGACTTTCTGCTAATGAATCCAAGTCTAACGACCCTTGCTTAAGAGCTTGCTCCAAGTTCGGATGGGCAATAGTTTCAAAATCAAATGTATGAGCATCAATGCTGTCTGGAGACAATTCTTCTAATGGAGCTGGGGGACACACAGGAGGACACAGGGGACCCTGAAGACTGAGTGACGGAGGAGTTCTTGAAGAGGTAGCAATTGCGGTTCCTGTTGTACTTTCCATCCTTGGTGTGGTAGCAGATTGTGGTGATGCTTGACTATTGGAGGCCTACAAGTTATAAAATATGAAACACACACTTAACGTGATAAGCAAAACTGTTAATATTTTAAATTTATTAAAAATTACCAGGCAAAACAAGAACTTAAAAAGTAAGCCTTATTATCTGTAACCGTCCAAAATACATACGACTAAAATTTAAGTAAAAGATGCAGAAATTCAGAGATATTTTCAGTAAATATTTTTTAAAAGCGTCATTTGAAAAAACAAATATCAAGTGTTCATCTATCCCAAAGACCACAGACATATCTGGAAGGGCTGAAACATAAGTTTGGACAACAAAATATGAAGTAACCAGTCAGAAATAGGCCTTATTTTCTAACTGCCTATTGATTTCAGTTTTCCTAATAATTTTCCTAATAAAATATTTTTATTTTATTGTTGCTAATACTGTTATTAAAAGACAGTGTAGTCCATTCACTAGTAATATACTAAACTGTCTTACAAAACTGTTGTCTGCTAACATATCAAAAACATGCATGAGAATTGTTCTGCTCCTGAGTGCATGAAAGTAATACAGAATAATGAAGGGAACGTTCTAATTTAAAGAAACATTCTAATTTTTCAGAATGCAAGACATCATAGCCTGAGCAGATTTCCACCCCCATGCTGCTCCCATCACTCCCAGGTTTTGACGTTTTGCCTCTAGAACTTGGATACCACCAAACCTGATAATGTCCCACCGGATCCTTCAATATTCAGCTGAAAAGCTATTGGTTAGAATAATCACCCATCCATGAGTAACAACATCTTGCAAACCAATACAAAGATTAAGAAAAGCTTATCTACCTTCAGAAAATTGCTCCCAACTAATTCTGATGAACTCCAGCGCTTTTGATTCTTACAAGACTAAAAACTTACCTTTAAATCAGTCTTCCAATTAACTGTGATTAGACAACATGCTTACATCTTATTATCATCAGTTTTTCACTACTATATGAATTATAAAGCAAGATCTCAAGCTCCAGTGCATACTCTGCTGTAGAGTGTAACTTCATGGACAGTGTCTGAAAACCAACTGTTGCTATTTCAAAGACATCATACTTTTCTATACTGTCATGGAATATATACAGTGAATTCAACTGAAGTTTGATTTATCACAGTTGTAACTGCAGGCAAAGTTACGTGCACTCATTTCTATGCACCTGAAATTCAGTAAAGCATCATTTTGAAATGTTTTTAAAAAAAAGTCAACCTCAGCAAGGCATTAGAGACTGTGCAAACAGCCCGTGTTCTGAGATTTTCAAGCTTTTTGCTATCTTTGCTATTTAATAGATTTAACATAATTGATTTACTGTTTGCAATTTTTGATTGACAGAGTAGGTGGTGTGTTAAAATCCTCTTCCTTTACTATCTTCACATCAACCACAACTACGAACAAATGGTCAACCTGTACTATCTTATACTATTAACTATTAAATACAACAGAGAATATAAAAGCCCTAATACCAAGTGTCATCACCTGCAGATTCTTAGAGCAAAAATATAAACCTTAAGGTTCAGCAAGTGAAGAACATATCCCAGTGGAAACCAAAAAGCAATGTACAGCCTCAGTACCCACCAAGGATGCATTCCTGAACAAGTTTGTAATAGGATGCATTGGAAAGCAATTTTTCCTAAGAAAAATACAGTGAAATACACACAGTTAAAATTCATAAGGAGAATATCTGTGACACATAGGATGGAAAGGCATAAGCAGGATGACAAACAAAGAGACACTGAGTTTTTCTGAATGGGTCAGCATTCTGAAAGATCTCAGACACACTGCCTGTAACACAATAGCCCAGCCATTACCTTGCTTTTCCCTCCTTCATCCTTGAAGGACTAGTTTGATCTTATTCATCTGAGGAATGCAACCACCTTGAAAAGAAACTGTTGCTACAGACTCATGGGAGTATTTATAGTAAAAGTTTCCCTTAAGATATTCAGTCGCAAAGTGCAGGAGATCTTTCAGAATGGTGCTCTTCTCCAAAAGCCGCCAACTGATAATCCTGATGATCCTGCTCTTTTTTCCAAACTATCTGCACTGCCTCCATGAATTAAAATAGTGTCTGGTGTTCTTTAGGATGTTAGTTTTTGCTATACATTGAACTCAGCTACTTAACTGGCAACAGTTAGTGGAGCTTAGCAATAAATGGTCAGCAACAGAACCAAAAAAAATCCAGAGAAGTGACAGACATCAGACTGCTGAGGTATAAATAGCCATTTTGTATTTTCTCAAGCTTTTACAAATGTGCTACCCAAAAAGGGACCCTATACCATGTAAATGTTCTCTTAATGAAGATGCAGTGTGGCTAACTCAATCCTGAACTGAGATATAGGAAGAATCTATTTCCAGCTCCGACATGCATCTGTTCAGCAGAACTGCATTTACACCTCACCTCCATTAGCCTTTGCATCCATATGAAAGTAAATCACACAACGATTTTTAAATCCCATGGTGAAAACCCACTGTAAAAAACATCTGTATGTTTATTATGTACAAAATATTGTCTTTATCAAAAATGAACACAGGGCAGGAGACAAAAACTTAAAGGGAAATGATCCTTTTGTTAGAGGTACTATTAATCCAGGTTTAAGCATTTCCTTTGAATTTAATTTCAGCTATCTAAGAAAAATTAGAAAAATAAAAGTTGAAGGATACTGTACATGCTGATACATGGATTTAAAGCATATGTTTTAAGTGACAAACATTTAACATTGATAAACCAGAGCTTTAACAGTAATAAAAGCTAGCATCACACATGTGACTAAGCACGCACTTCAAAGACTGAGTATTAGAAGGCCACATGCAAAAGAAAGACGTTATCTTTTAGCACCCCTGTAGAATCATCCCAGAAGGTAAAGAGTAAGGATCTAGCATGAAGAAGAAAAAAATATAACTGTCACTGTGTAGAGCAACACTCTACTGAGTTCAGCTTCCTTCTGACCTGGGCTGTAACAAATTCCATGCAGTGGCTGCTGTGAGCTGGGTCTGTAGTTAAGAGTACCAGATTGCTGCCCAGAGAAGAGTTAAACCTCAAATTTTGAGTGGCTGAGTACATAAGGCCTTGTTTACTGCTGCCTATTTCCGTGAGAAGCTGGTGCCTGCTATCTAGACTGTTTACAGTCTATAGGCAGCAATGTATGCATATGTCATACACTAATTCCTGTGATGACAAAAGGAAAGGAATGAAGAGCAAGCAAGAACAAATACAAAAGCAGAGAGAAACAGTTGATTTTTAAGCTCTCAGGTGTTGCTGAATTACATGCCTTGTTCTCGTTATGTTACTATGATAAGCATAATCAAGGGAACGGGGCAATTCTTCGAAGGATTACAAACAGTGTTTGTATTTCAAACTCAACTACAACAAATGGTAGATTCATAATCTGATTTGAAAGGCAAACTTCTCTTACAAGTGAAACTTTTAGTACCAAAGGATTGTGTATGTAAACTGCCTACTAGCTGTGGAGAACATACCTTGATCATCTTACCTGACTCCTATGGGCACCTTAACTTTCTCCTGGACATCTTTAACCTAATCACTAATCTGCTTAAACTTTGTCTCTATTATGAAAATGAGAGGGCACAGCAATCTCTTTGGTGTAAATTACAAAGGAAGAGCAGAAAGCTTTAAAAAGGAAAACAGATTTCAAAGTAGTGACAAATTAAGAAACACTGGTTTTCTTTAACTACTCTGATGTAATACTCAAAACAAGAAAGAAATCAGATAGAGAAATGTGTCACCATTAATTTGAAAGCTGAAATAAGTGATGGGACACTTAAAGAAATGCTACTAACATCCCCAGCAAGATACTCCTCTCTGATTTGCTCTTTGCTCACCTGTCTGCAGCCACAGCTTTTCTCTCCTGCCTAAAGCAACTATCAAAAGACCAGCTGCTGCGGCTGATGCAGTTGGATGAACTCTTACCTGACTCCAACAGAGCTAAACTGCTGCACTACCAAGAAGGCAGGGAAACTACCCCAGTTCAACTTAAAGAACCAGGCTTCTCCTGTCACTTGTAAGGAAAGGGAGGTTGTGTCGTATATGACTCCTTGGAAGAGGACAAAAGGAACATTGTTATACGAGTGACAACACCTGCACAGCGATCACCAACTCTACACCAAGCTGCGACAATATTTCACAGTTCTCCAACAGAATGTATAGGCACATGAAACTGTAGACATCTTCACGACTATTATTAAATGTTTATTCATCCTTCTAATTACATACTGTAAATTCCCAGCAACACTAAGGATAAGAAAAGAGAATTTTCAAATTATTTCAATAATTCCACACAAAAAAAAACACCACGGGCAAAAGTAGTATAATTTCAAAACCATTTCCAGATCATGTGCAGAAGAAAGCAACACAGAAAAAGACCTAGTATCTTTCAAGTAATAACAAGAACACTGTCATTGAGAAGGAAAAGAAATCTGACAGATCTATTTGCTTCAAAACCAAAAAGAGTTTAAATGAATCACTGAAATTACACACAAGCTAGGCATTTTCAAGGTGACATCATGAAAGGCCCAGCTCTGAATGTGCAATGCAATTTACTCTAAGGAAAGAGACAATTATCCAAATCTGTCTAAGCACCTGACATTTATGAGTCAGCCAAGAATCCAAACTGGTCAAAGCATAGCAGAAGAGTGGAAAGCACAGAATCTCCTGATTTGGCAAACATCATCTTTGTGCAGTCAGATAAAAATGTCTCAGATAAGTCAGTCTGAACCAAAAAGGGCAAAACATCAAGACTTGAACAAGTAAGGCAATTTTCCTGTTTATTTTTCTCCTATAATTACGTATATTTTTAATTAAAACTTACTCCTTTGATTTATTTCACCCTCTTCTGACATCCCAAGCCTTAGTGAAAAATTAATTCATAAGAACCACCTGTCACTACTCTGCTTTCTGATGAGATATATTTCAGGATGCTCCAAGTTGGGGATGCACTTCTATGTTTCAGAACCTAGTCCCAGATTTTGCAAAAATTACACCACTCCTAGTCATTCCGTTGGCTGATACAGTGGCCAGGCCCTAATGCTCTTATTCTTAATGGCTGTTCATATCAAAAAAAAAGTCTTCATAATGAGAAAAAAAGAGCTAAGAAATTACACAAATCACACACCTTTTCTTTATTACAGGACAAAGAGTGGCCCAGATGCTGTATTTTAAAGACTTCCAGCAAATCTCTTGTTCAGACCCCAGACGAATGAGTAGAGGGCATCGTATTTAAGCAGAAGTTTTCTAATTCAAAACTGAACATGCCCATACTTTTGGCAGTTATAGAAAATGTTTCTAGTCAAAGTGCAAACAAACACACTGTAAATGACAACATGGCATCCCACAAAAAGTGACTCCTTTTTTCTATAGTAAAACTGCTGAAGAAACAAAATCTGAAGCACTCAGCTACACACAAGGTTTTAAGTATTGCTAAATTCACCCACAGCTTCACTAGAATAGGCTACAGTCAGCTAAAAAGACCCTGTTTGGGGTATTAGGAAATTTAGAGGCTGAATGCAAAGAAGCAATCAAAAGTGCTTCTGCCAAACAGTTTCTAGAGCTTGACAGGCAGAGTGAAACTCAGAAGAAACCCTTTTGCCATCTGTTCCTTTTATAGTCAAAGTAAGAGACTGCACATATTTCTTCTCCTCCCCAAAAAGCAGGGCTGCAACAAAGGAGTAGGCGACACATCAATATTCAGGCTAATGGGGACAAGCAACCAAGGCCCTAAAGTCTCCCTAACTGCTTGTGCCAAAAGGACTTCAGAAGCAGTGCAAAAATCTAGAGAAGTAACAACTTCATTATATACAAACTAAAGCAACAAAGGCAAAATGCACACATTCATCACAAAGAAGCTTGAGAAAATGGCAAAGGACAGAAATATTGACAGAATAATTCTACTTCTATGACTTCTGTGGAATATAAGCACCTATTAAATGTTCAGAAGATATATACAGTATCTTTTGACTGTTGCTATATACAGATTCACTTTACTCACTGCAGAGCTTAAAATTCTCAGAATATTTATTAGTATGTGGTTAGAAAGGAAAATACTATTACGCAGTTAGGAGACCAACTAATCTTTACAGCTGGAAAAACACTTCTTTCTGAAGTGGTTGATAAAACAATATTACGAAAATATTCTCATTTTCTGAATATTCTCTTTTCTTGGTACAGAAAAAAAGAGATACCTTTTGTTCATTCAGCAGGTCTGTAATGGTTTGTGACATTTCATCCAAACTCTGTGCTGCCTTTACCAGGTTATGTAGAGCACGTACATGCTGGTGAAGAGGTTCAAAGTCACAAAGTATGGGAACCCTTAAAAGACAGTATAGGATTAAAATTTTTTCCACATTGTTAATCTAATATTCAAATACGTTATTATGTGTATATTCCAACAAGACTATGCTTCCCTGTGTAAAGTTTGCACTTCTTCATTTCACCTATTTTACATGAAAAACTCATTAAGACCACATGATATTGGTGTTTTAAATTAAGAACTTAAGAGCTTCTAACGATAAACAGTGATGGAGAAGTAATATGTCTGAGTCTTTCCTTCTGAGGAAAACATTTTGCAGTAGTACCTAATGTTACAATAACAGTAACAAAAGAGAATTGATAGTGGTTAGATCTGTAATTGAAGCACTTATGTTTGCAAATGACTATTATTCTCTCCAGCTGGATTCTTGCCAATCCAGCTCTTCCTTTGAAGTAGCTATTAATTCTCTACTGTTTTATTTTAATGATAGGTAGCCTAAATTAAAAGACTGATTAATGTGCTTTCGATTGTGAGTTTTGCAAATCTCTAGAAAAGCATATTTAATGTTTCTTGGAGTCTGTATATCCAGAATTTTTAATTTGTTCAGGAATTGCTCGACTGAAGTAATGAAATAGGAGTTCATTTACACTAACGATATAATAAAAGCACAGTATACTTCAATGAATTTTGCATTCTCTATTCAATATATAGAGCAAGTGTTGTAATTGTATACTGTATTTTTGTAGAATTAAGACTTCAATAATTGCTCAAGCGTGTAACTTCAGAAGACTGAAATACAGTAAGTAAACAGAATCGTAATTTTAATTATGTAGCACAGGGCTTCAGTGCTTACAGAAAGGGAATTTGTGCTAGGTCTCACTTTGGCTATTGCCTGCTCTTTAGATGTTAAACGAAAATACCGAAGAAAGTACTGTTCTAAAGGTTCTTCTGAAGCTCAGTGTCTACCAAGGTGTGTAACAGCTTTGCCCACTCGAGCTGCAAAGCCACTACTATCAAATATTTCCATCAAATATAACCTGAGCCCAGAAACTAGGAGGAACATGATATAATCCCACCTCTATTGCCATCAAGTGGACAGTTATGTCACTGCAATTCAGACCAACTAAAAAGAGTTTGGTTAGTGATTGGTTTTCTGACAATACCAAGCTAAATTCTTCTTTAATTCAGTCCAAATTTCCCAAGAAGGTTCTAAAATTCTCATAAACCCAAAAATCAAGGAAGCATCAATGATATTAGTTTTTTTTTTTTTTTAAACTGCAGAATCACTGAAGAGCAAGCCTAAGAGCATAGCAAGAGAAATTAAAAGGGTACATCAGCTGTATCATGACCTAGTGCAAATCCACTGTCAAGAAGACTAAACTCACTATACTTATTTTTAATTCCAGCAGTAATCCCACAAGGATGGTCAGGAATTCTGAATAAAAAAGTGTCAGTACAAAACAGAGGTGAAAAAAAGAGTGAATTCAGCTCTTGCAATGGCACCAATAACAGATATCAGCCTGATACTGTGGGTGAACCCAACAGATGACAGTGGAATATCCTCCTCTTTGATTTACCTTATCCTTTGTGGGACTGTGGCCTTGAGGCTAAAAACCAACATGAAATCTCAGCAAATCTCTAACTGCAGTTCTCTTCCAGCTGAAGGATGATGGACACATGCAGCATCTGATTGTGGTCATACTGACTGACAGACAGATCTCTTCCTACACAGGACCTTACATAGAACTTGCTACTGCCTATTTCTTGCCCATTGTCTTGGTTGGAATTTCTGTTTGCTACAGGTTTCAGACACAAGAGTCTGAACGCTCACTAACAGCCAACTTTTCCAGAAAGACACCTCTAAGTTCTATATACGAAACTAATCCTGTCACATTGCCTGTGAGAAAAACACCCAGTAGACCTTTCCTGTCTACATTTGCACATCTGCCTCGTTGTTGGAAGGTAAGAAACGCAGAAACAGAGCTTTGCTCAAAATGATGGATTTCCATACTCAGCAGAGGAAATTGTAGAATACACCTTTTAGTAAAATGTCTGTCAGAGAAAAAGCAATAATTGGATACAGAAGATCTCTATGATCTCATGCCAGGCTAAAGAATTATTCGTATTCTTTTCTCCAGAATACAACCTACAGAACAAATTTAAAAAAAAAAATCAATCTAATTCTGATCTGACAAAACAAAGTTATGAGTTTATTTCAGTTTAAAACTGAAAACACTTTTGGATTTTTTTTTTTTAAGCTACAAAGCAACTCAGAAGAACATCGAACATCTTTTACATCTCAGTATGAATGTGTCCAAATCATCCAAGCTTGAGTACACGAAGCATATAGATAATATGTCTCTACATGAAGTCAGCGAAGAATACCACTTAAGAATGGTATCAGTTCAAAAAATATCCTTGTCTGTTCCTTACAAAAAAATTAACTGAGGGGGCCGAAAAGGGTGGGAGCATGGGAAAGCTACTTCCATAACACAGAAAGTTTACAAAGGTGCTTTACCTGAGTAACGGCTGTACTTCTGAAGGACAAAAAGACTGTAGAAACTGCAAGTCACTTAGTGAGATATCTGGAAGCTCACTGTCAAACCTGCGAGGTTTTCGTGTCTGTATTAAGAAGAAATTAATTTACATGTTGTTAAGGTAAATAATATCAAGATAACAAGGAAGGATTAAAAAAAGAGGTTAACAGTAACACAGAGTTGGTGTTAGCTGATCTATCAAAAGATTCCATATGCAGGGTTTGGGTTTTTTGTTTGGTTTTGTTTTGTTTTTTTTTAAAAAAGGAACCATGTCTGGTCCCACCCCCTTAAAAAAAATAGTTTACATTTATAGTCATTAATCTCTCACAGTGTCTCATGCAGAAGTAGAATAGAGCATTTGGAAGGGACCTACAACGATCACATAGTTCAACTTCCCCCCTATTACAAAGCTTCATGAACATTAAGGATGTGTTTAAAACATTAAAGCATAAGAGATGGCACTGAAGCTTTATGTACTGTGCTGCTAAATATAGTCAAGTATTAATTCAGTTCAGTATTCTGTTCTGAATAATGAAATAAGCAGTATTCTTATTTCCTCAAGTATCCTTTAAAAAAGCTGCAAAGGAGAAGCTGAAAAGGTTAAACAAGGTAAAGTGAGATGGCAGCATAAGGATCAGGGAAAGTTGTCTTACTTGAATTAACCAAGCTGTATGAAATCAAAGTTAACAGGCAATGCTTGATTACAGAATTACTTTTTCACCCCTTCATGCTATCCAACAATGAAGAGATGAAAATGCTTTTTTCCTCTCATCCAGTAATTATAGAAAAACATGAAAACTTTTCACTTGCTTGTACAATCCAATTAATTTTATGGTGCACTCATTCAAAAGAGAGGATTAGATGATCAAATTATCCCTCTTGGATTCTTTTTTTCTGATCATTAATAGCAATTTTCTTGTTCAATACCACAGACTCCTTGTTAAAAAGGAGTATCAAGGTAACATTTCCTCTCCCAACACACTGCAAGTTATGAACCAATGTTAATATAGGTCACCTGAAACAGCAAAGAACACTAAAGCTCCCAGCTTTATCCTCTGTGTCAGAGCAATGTAACAGGCATATAGCTTGAATGAATTAAGCTTTCTTTTTTCATTTATGAAAATGAAATAAAAATATATTGAGTACATACACAAAAGGATGGGGGCCAGGAGTCAAGTCCTCTAAACAAACGATTCCTTAGAAAAGACTTCCCTGAGCAAAGAAGAAAGGTTATTTAAAAGAAAGAAATGCAATATGTAAGGAATGCCTCAAAAGATGACAATGAATCTACTGCAGTTTAAGAACTGAACTGCATTTGAAAGCGCTACTATGCCATTTTTTTACAACATAAAAATTGCAGATGACCACAAAACTTCACGTGAAATCCACCATCCAAATAGAACTTCTCAACTGAAGCATATTTTTGCTTAATATTCATCCCTGCAAAAGCCTCAAATCCTTTCCAATTTTCATTGTAATCTTGTTAATCTCCTTTCCAAAATTTTTTATAACATTTTTGCTCTATTTCCTTATTTTAGCAATTTATTCAGAACAAAGAAAGAGGATTTACCAGGAGCTTTTTTTTTTTACTCTTTTTCTGCAGTAGTACAGAGGAAGTAGCAATACCCAAATGTTAAGTAGTTCTTTTAAAATGTTATTCAAATCTTGCAGAACAAATTCAAACAGAAACTGCATTCAAATACAATAATTAGAAATCTTATCTTTACAAGCATTAAACTAATTAGAACTGTCACAGTATTTTGGATAATCTACGTAAAATCAGTTCATTAATTTGATTAATAGAAAATTAATAGAAAAATAATATTTATAATAGCACCATCTGTATGCATTTCCTCATTAAGTTAAAAATATAGGTATTTAAACTACAACATAGTGAAAATATTTTGACTACAAAGTCATACATAACCACAATTCTCATTTCACAGAAGATGAAATACTTACTGAACAGTTTACCAAAAGATTCCCTTTTTGCCTTTTCAGCTTCATATAAATGTTTTCCATCTTTTATTAAAGCACCTGCCCACTGTGGAAGGGAAAATACATAATGAGTTGTTAACCTGCACATTGCCACAAAGGTTTAGTTGTTAAGTTTTACTTTCTTACTTACCTCCCTGTAGTGTTTTATGAACATTTTCCTCCTCACAACTTCAACAACAGCTAGACAGTACATTTGAGGAACAGTACTGAGCGCCTCTACAACTTTGACCCTTTCTAGGAGCTCTGTTACAAGACGAAGCAATGCTTGTAGTTTCTCTCCATCTTGGTCAGCATGAAGCATTACAAAACAACACCACCTACAAAGGTAGGTTACACTTTAGAAGGTAACAACTTAGTCATCTCTCCTCCATTTAAATTCCACTAAGATTAGCAACATGTCTGGACAAACTAAACAACAACATCCTTTTACATGGGACAACAACACGCCATCTGGAGTACCAAGAAATTCAGAATTCAGTAGTTGCCTTGCATTTCCCTGTTCATTTTTCACAGGAGGATATCCACACCAGTGCTCAAAAAATGAGCACTCAGCACTGCTGGAGCTAAGGTGTTGGTTTTGGCAGGTAATGCTCTTAGCACACCTAACCTTAAGAGGAATGATAATGTAACTTTCTCACGAAGAATTAAAAAAAGCTGGTACATCCAGAGCAAAGAGACTATGTTTTTAATAAATCTTAAAAATACTTACTGAAAAGCATTAGCAAGAAATATTAAGGGTAGGGACAATGTCAAAAAAATGAGATCAAAACCCTGCATGGGAAGATCACACCATCTACTCATACACTACAAATAACAGCCTGTGTAATACACAAATTCTTACACCTTGTAACCACATTGTCTTCTTGATACAATCTATACATCAATTTCAAGCACAGTCACCAACATAACTAAATCACAGGATAACTATTGAAAAGGTTTGTTTGAGGGGAAACATTACAGCAACATTGCCACACCACAGACAGCCTAAGGTGGAGGTATATCCCACAAGAAGCAAAAAAAGAATAAAGAAAAACTGCTTTTATTGACAGAATTGAAGTGAAACAACAAATTCAAAGGAGACAACATTAAGAAACTAGGAATATACTAACAGAAAAACTACAGGAGACAATGTTGACCTTCTCATAGTAATGAGTACTAAGAACTAAAAGAGGGCATTATACAAAGCCAACGAGCAGCCAGCTCAAAATACAAAGGGAAATAAGTTTTCCACACAACACATAGGTAAGCTGCAGAACCTGCAAAATACAGGAGTTGGTAGATTCAAAAAGAAGGTGGACTAGTTCATGGAAAACCTGTCCATCAGCAATTAAACACAGAAGAGCTTCTTCTAAATCAGGTAAGAATATTCTCCTCTAAGATAATGTATGTATAGTTAATTCATGTTCTTTCCTCATTATTAGATTCTCATTAATGGTCATTTGCTACTAACTCCTACTGAAAACAAGCTAGAAACACCTTTGATGTGATGCAAAATACAGAAGTTTTTTGGGGGTTTTTTCTATGTTTGTTTTGGGTTTTTTTGGGGGGTAGAGGGGGTGAAAGTGGGGGTGGGCTGTTGTTGGGTTTTGTTTGTTTGAGGTTTTGGGGTTATTTTTAAACATCTATGCTTTATGAGACTTTGGGCAACCTGGTCTAGTGGAAGGTGTCCCTGTCCATGGCAGGGGGTTGGAATCAAGTGATCTCTAAGGTCCCCTTCCAACCCAAACCATTCTATGATTCTATTCTTCTCTTCAGATTTATCCTCTCTGCAGTCACTCTCCACACCTCACTTGCCTCTTCCTTACAAAGGGATGCAAGCCTTTTCCTCTAACAACTTATGAATTAAGAGTATACCACACAAATTACAAATACTTAACAAACAGGAGACGAAAGTGGTATTTATGGCACCCTAGGTTCTCCGTACTATCCCCAAATACCTACTACAATGAAAAAAAAAAGTCATCTTTTCATCACGCTAAAAGCAGATACAGAGGCAAAGACAAATTCACATTTCAATTTACTTAGCAGTAATCAATTTCACAAACACAACAGGATCTTTGTCTCTAGTACATTGTTTGACTTCTTCCTGCCCCCTGCATCTGTGTCTTCTCTATATAAACTGCCATCTCTTCAAGAAGAAAAAAACCCAAATCTACTTGATTTACATCTCCATTGTGCAAGTCTAACAGGGTCACAACATTGTCTAATAGCTTCTTGCTAGCATAAACGAAGTTTTTTCTTCCAAAAACTATTAAACTCTGTATACTTTTCCTATGTATTTGACATAAATTATCTGAAGCTTTAATAATTAAACTATTGTAGTGTTAAAGTACTGTATTTCACCTTTAGCAATATAGACTGGATACTGCTTTCCATGTAACACAGCAATGATTCTCACATGAAAATCTGCTGTATTTACTGGCTGTGACTAGAAATGATTGGTTTTGATGAACTACAAGTACATCAAACTACTGGTTACACTTATTATAATCCTTTGAAAACATCAATATAATTGCCAGTCAAATTTTAAATAAGATACTGATGGCTCCTGAGGTTGATGAGAGGAAAGGGGATTATAGGTTTTTGGATATTGTTTTATTGATATGAAGACCATTTAAACTCTAAGAAAAGTTTCTCTTAAAACAGTATTTTGTTTCACACTTACAAATAACTTCATATACAAAGTGAAGTAATCCAACTTTTATTTTTTCCCCCATTAAGGAACACTCTATGCATTACCAAAGAATTTCTTAGGACATATATTCTTTAAACATTCTTAACACAAGTGGAAGCAATATCAAGTTGAAAAGTTGTAACTTACTTCAGTCTGACTTGTAGATTATTTGCAAGCTCCTGTTTGGCAGTGGTACATTTCTGTTTAATATCTAACAGTTTTCTGTGATTAGTTAACATAATCATCAGCTGATTTGCATGACTCAAACACAAATCAGGCAGTACAGAAGGATCTTTCAAGTTCTCAGCTCTCTTCTGATTAGCCAAAAATCCCTAGAGGAAGCAAATACACATTTGTTACACAAGCTTTGTAGCAGAAAGCATGGAAGTGATCCATCTTCTCTTTAAGAATGCAAACATTTTAATAAACTTCCTTTAACCATTCAGGAGTATAACAGAATGCTACACAGAGAAGTGTCAAAGTTGCTTTGTTTACATTCAACGAGATTTATTTGGACTGGATTATAGGATAATTCTCTCCCACACAGTTACCAACACAACCCTCTAAGAACTTCACACAACTGACCACCACCACCAAAAGATAGTAAGAGTTATGCAGCAACAAAGTAGCTACGACAATGGAGGGGAATTGACCATCATTCTAATTTCTGCAAGCCACCAGCCTGTTAATTTCTGGCAGATGAAAGACTTAACATCAACTTAAAGCATATTCAGTACTATTGTGGGCTAAAGAATATATTTTTTGCCTAAAGAAATTCATATGTGTCATGGTTTAACCCCAGCCAGCAGCTAAGCATCACACAGCTGCTCACTCACCTCCCCCCTACCACGGCGGACTGGGAGGAAAGTTGAAGACAAGGAAACTCATGGGTTAAAATAAAAAGTTTAGTAATTGAAAATAAGTGAAATAGAGTATTAAAATAATGATACTAATAATACTAATAATGCTAATAATGCTAATATTACTAGTAGTAATATGTAAATAAAATAATGGAAGAGAAAAATTATAGAAATGCTCACCACCTCCCAAACAGTTCCTGAGCAGCAAGAGCCAGGCCAAGACCAAGAGAGACAGCACCAGAAAACTGTCCCACTCCCCCGAAACTTATATATCAAGCATGACATTTTATGGCATGACTTTGGTCAGTTTGGGTAAGCTGTACAGGCTGTGTCCCCTCCCAGCTTCTTGTAGAGAAGAAGCATTAGAGAAGAGAATTACACCAGTGCAGTATCAGAAACTGAAGTCGTCCTTGGCTTGGTATAAACATTCCTTAGCAACAACTAAAAATATTAGCATGTTAACAATATCCTCAGCACAACCAAGACACAGCCTCATACTAGCTACTGTGAGGAAAATTAACTCTATCCCACCTAAAACCAGCACAATACATGAAACATTCTTCTTGAGAGCCAAGACTGCAGCTTGGCATCTCATTTGCACGTTGGAGTTGGGCACAGCAAAAAATTATCTGTTGCAGATGGTTAACTGGCAAACCCTAAAAGGTTGGGGGGGACAAAACAGAGAAGATGGACTGCCTTAGATAAATACGTTCAACATGGCTGATTACAGTTCTACAAACTTGTTTATTAAGCCTTTGTTTTCCCAATGAAAAATTAAAAACCAGAAAATAGTTTTAAGTGTTTCTTTCTGAAGCTGAAGTTGATGAGAACAGTAAACCATAGAAAATTATACAAAACTGGTGCAAAATGAAACCAGTCATTGCTGATTTGATATTGACTGTAGAGCAATCTTGTCATAAGATGCTACGAAACACACTTGCAAAGCCTGCAATAATTACTTATATCCTGTGAGAACAGCACAGAAATGGAAGGAAATATCACAAAAGTATATTAAGTGTAATGACAAGGAAGAAGATGCATGCTGAAGATGGAAGAAAATACTGAAGAGTCACCCATTTACAGAACTCTAAGCACGTTATGCACTGAATGAGTGAGAAGCCTCTGTGAGACAAAAGCAGGCTGCAAACATTTTAACTCTTTAGCCAAGCTAAGTGAATGGAAACCAGAAAAGGCGGGTAGAACTGTTACTGAGATGAAGAGGACTGCTGCATCAAAAGATCATGGGTAGTTTAGGCATGAAGACAAAGACTTTGAAGAAACATGCTCTGGTAACAGTTAGGGAATTGCTACGCACCAAAATCAAAGGCAGTATAGGCATGAGAGCATAGAGGTTTGACCTAGCCCAGAATATTCTCACATCTGGGATTATGAACAGTAGAACAATTGGACTGTATACAACTTTGCCACAGGAAAAGTCAAGAAAATAATTGCTTTTAAATAGCAGCTTAGTAAGCTTTTTAAATTAATAACATGGCCTGGAGCCTGAAGTTACACAAAACTTGTTGCAGTGAGCTAGAAAATCCCTTCCAGCTTTACGCTCAGTTCCAAAATGACACAAAAATGGCAGAAGATACTCAAATTTATATCTGCAGACTCAGCTTTAAAATAAAATTGAAACTAAAATTGCGATAATCAGCAAGTTAAAATGAAGAATCTCACCATACTAGAAAAAGGCCAAACAAAAAAGAAAGGGGGGGGGAAGTGGGGGGGGTGGAGGGGGGAATTCCAATAAATTGTGAAGAAACACAAGGTCTACATAAACAACCTAAATTAATAGAAATGCATTGGTATGTAATAAAATGTTTTGAAAAGCTACACTGCTAATAGAGAAATAAAAAAAAAACCTCATCACCAAACCACCACAAATCAGAAAATGTTGGAAAGGATAAACTACTGGGCAGAATCACATCAAAAGATGAGAGCCTCCAAATTTTCCAGAGGCGTACTCTTATTATGTAATACCACCTACTGACCACAATTCTATATGCTTATGTTACAAATCCCAGCTTCCACTGAGAAAAATCAGTTTTTACTTTAACAAAGCAGCTTTCCATGTTAGATGTTAGGGGCTGGAGATCAACTATTCAGCTACATACATCAAGATGCAATTTTTCATGTAAAAGTCTGTTTAATGGTCAATTAATGGAAAAGGCTGACTAGAAGCAAGAGAACTCAGGGCAGGTCGAGGAACAAGCAAATTAACTAAGCAATGAGGCCTTCTAGCAGCCCATAACTTTGTTTCATAGGATAAATTTGGTCTAAATTTTAACAACGAAACTGATGTTGGAGAAAAATGTCAACTCAGATTCTGGATAGAGCATGAGCTTCTTCTGACCTGAGAAAAGTAATTCTACATCTTCCAATACAAAATACAAATATTGCCAATGGAATTACCATTGAGGTGTTCCTTATCCTTGTTCCATAAAGTACATCCACTTTATTTCTTTATGAACAGAAATAGCTCACTGTTCAAAGATGTGATGTAAAGGAAAATTATGGGGTTGTTTTCAGACAACACTGAATTTTCAGAGTTATCACACAAATGTGAGTACTACCATTAAAAATGCACCATCTCCTCATCTCTATTTTAAATACAACTAAACCCTTGTACTTCATTCTTCAATTTCTATGCAAACTGTCATTTTAATCAGTAACACGATACCAAGCTCTACTATCTTACAGTGTCTATTTTTTTCCAAGAAGTATCTAAACAACTGCTAAGACTGGTATGAAAATACTTCCTAAGGCTCAAATATAAAAGCAAGGAATAAAAGCATCTGGTAGTACATTTAATCACTTGTTTAAACACAGACATGTAATTAACTGAAGCTACAAAATTAACAACAAAAAAACACAAGCTCACCATCACATTCTATCTGACTGTTCTTAAATCCTGTATCATAAATCAAGGAATAGACAATTTACAACAAGAAAAAGCAAAGATGAAAGCGTGAAAGTTACAAGTCTCTGACAAGTCTTCAAAAGCTACAAATTCTAGATTTACAGTGGCATTTAAGCAAGGTGCTAAAGTATCTTTCCAAATGACTTTCAGTCAAAAGTGGGATGGGTAAACTGGAGGTACGCCCTTCATTCAAGTGAAAAGGGAACACAGAGTTCAAACCATCACTCCCAGCATTGGGCAACCAAGCACTGGGATGGAAGAGTAGCTTTTCCATCATGCTCTATTCCCTCAGATTTAGCACTGGCCTACAAGACATACTGCAACACTGAGATGCAGCACAAACTTACTTCTGAACTTACTCATTGAAATTTACTGAGGACAGGCTCCACCTTTAAACAATGCTGCCCAGAAGTACCGGCACCACCCACCTTTATGTAACAGCCAGATGATGGAGCACAAAGCCGGGATCCTGCAAGACTGTCAGCCCAGTCCTCTCCTCCTTACAGGGGGATCTAACCACCCCAACTTTGTTCACTTACTCCTACGAACCATTTTCGATTTCACATTGGTATAAATAAACTCATGCCCTTCTTCACAGTCCCAGCTCTGATGTAATGGTAAAAATCTGAATAGCAGATAATGACCATACACATATTTGAATATACTTTCAGTTGCAAAGAAGGCATTAAAGAGCAATCTTAGGTATAAAGTTACCTGAAGCTCTTCACAGAAGATTTATTAAAGAAGCTTTGATAATGCACTGTAATGTTTTCTTAAAAATAGGAGCTATATATTTTACACTAAGAATTCTATAATCAAATTTATCACTTCAAGTGACACCTAGTGCCGGCACACTACTCACTCTCCTCACTATAAACTTGGTCATCAACCATTAAACACACTTTTTCTTCCCTGATCCTGTATCACTGAGTGACAAGTTACCGAGGACTCAGCCTTTCCCTTCAAAATTAAATTTATCTTACTTATCTCCTATTCCATATCTCCAAGTCAAGTTCAGACATTCTAGCTGTTTTTGTATTTCTACACCATAAGGATAACAGATAACCCCTCCGAAACTCAAACCTGAAGGCCCTCAATTCTTCTAACTCTTGAACTATGATATAATGCAGCAGGGTCATACCTCCCATTTTCAGCTCATAAAATAAAACGACATGCCCTCTCAGAACAAGAAGCACTACCTGCATGGAGTGGCATGTGAGCTAATTAACATTATCAAGAAAAAGGATAAAAGGACACTGGAGCAGCTCACTAACAGTCTGGCTGTATGTCTGAATCCGGAACTAGTTGATGTCAGAAGACAACATAACCAATGAATTCATTGGTGTGACAGGACATGCCACCTGCGCATGATGCCAATTTCATACCTCATTTTCCCTATTATTGAGGGTTTTTTTCCTTTTCTGCCTTCCATTTAGTAAGAAGCTGGATGAACTACTGAAGATTAATTAAATTTTACCATTTTCTAAGTGATTCTTCTTCATCCAGAAGAAACCTGATTTCGATTCCAGAAACAATACCATATACTGATGTATCTGGGAATTCATCAATTATACACTGGTGCCTTTATGAAAATGCTGATTGGCTGAATTGAAATTAAATATATTTTTCCAAATTACAACCAAGAGAAAGTTGACAGAAATACTTTAGCTACAAAAATATACACCCTGATATGCAGTTGACAAAGTTGCAGCAAACTACAGCTCTGCATATTTTAGGTGCATTAAGCCCATGCTATTTTAAGACATTTTTGTTTTGTAGAGTTACTTTTTCTCCTATGTACATTAAGTGACATAAATAAGCCCTACATTGAAGCTGCATTTTCAACTACATTGACGTTTATAAAAAAAGTATTAAAATTAACATGGTATTTGGAGATACGAGCTGAAACCATGACAACAAGATGTAAATACTAGCAATACTTAAATGTCAGATTATCATGAACGTAGCACCTTTTGAGCATCTCCAGCGTGACAAATTGAAAACTATCTTGCCTTAAGACATACAACTGTTTTGTTGTAATCTTTAGCTGCGTACCCCTATCAAAAGTCTACCATCTTCCAATGTTACACACAGATGTGTATTACCTGAGCAAGTTCCTTTTGTTCATTCACCAGTCTGCTGCAGCTTGCTATCATCTGGTCCAATGCATAGAGCCTATCCTCAAGGCCTTTAATAGCCTTCATGTTCTGATTATCTAGTTTGGCGATAGTTTGGCGACATTCTGCCAGAAAGGGTTGGATGATCCTTGGATCAAGCTAAAAAAAATTTCAAAAAAAAAGGAAAAAATGTTTATTAGCAGTTCACATATTGAAAGGTGACATGAGCTAGCCACATGAGTTTTTATAACTTTTTTTTCAACCTGATGTCTGCCAATCCATTTCAGAATTCTGAGTTAAGGAGTTGGTGGATTTTATGTCACAGCATGTATTCCTTTAAAGCATTCCAACCAGACGATCATAGAAACCAGGATCCTTATGGGGAAAGGGACATCAATTGAGGGAACAAGGCAGGGTGCAGGGGGAAGAGGCAATTTAAAGCTAATAAACACAGTCTACCCTGGAACAGAGCCCATCCAGCGACAATCAAAACCAGTGATGAATTGCAACAGCTTATGTAGGACAGAGTTTAGTCTAAACCTGGAATAGATTAGTTAGGAACATCGTAAGCATCATTAGCCATTAGCAGAATATGAACAATTTGACCAAATTTATCTAAAATGGTTACAGAATGCCATTTATTATGATTATCATATAATATATGGCTTCTTTCATCAGCATGAAGGTTTTGTGCCCCTTACAGAGCGCACAAATTAACTCTCAAAAAAGAAGCCACTTAAATGACTCAATATTGACATAAATAAAAGTACTATTTGTCCCTCAATCTATTATTTAACTGTATAAAGCTTTCACACACAGCACTTTCATTCTGTAAGCCAAACTCCAGGGTAGAGAGGAATCTGAAGGGGAAAGGCATTACAAATTAGAAAGCAGCTATGATGAATAGGTCTTTCATTCTCTTCAAACAAATAAAAAAAATCACCCAAAAAAATCCCCAAGCAAACAAACAGATCATAATGAGAAATACTAAAAACTGGTATTTAGCTCAGAAGAAATTTTCAGAATAAATAATGCTATTAACATGAAAATATAAGTTAATAAGCAAAAAAAGGCAAAAGGTCTTTAAAAAATTGTAATGCTCACTGGTTAAAATAATCATTTGGAAATTAAGAAAGTAAGAAATGTTTATTCTACCAGCAGCAGAAATACAGGCTGGCATGTTGGGCTCTTCTGAGTCCATCTGTACCAGCTAATAAAGAATGCCTATATATGTAAATATGTAAATTTATCACAATTAACCATATGAATTTGTCCTATATTTTCATAAAGGCTTCAGTATTTTTAAACACAAAAGAACGTTAACTTTGGTTCAGGAAATTCTTTACGTTTGTTACAAGCATAATTTCTGTGAAAAAGACTAGAAGAAAAGTCTCTTTGCTTATACACTACAAGAAGCTATTGGCTTTCCAACGGGAAAGGCTATTTGAGAAAACAGGGAAAATGACAAGCATTCATTGTGAAATTCTACATTTTCCTAAAGGTCAAATTCTTAACATTCAAGAACTCTTAAAATAACTCCCACCCCCCAAACCCCCAGTCTCAATTCACAAAGTTGTCTAAGAAAAAGTAAGTTACAAAATTTTGAGTCACTTAAAAAGCACTGGCATCTAGAAAATAAACAGCAACATTCAATGTGATATAATTTAAGCTTTAAAAAACCTGTTAACTTACCCTGCTCATAGAATCAAAACACTTTCTCACCAGCGATTCAACATCATTAGGTCTATCTTGAACATTTATCCAGTCTAACAAAGACACATTGAAGGAAGGCTGATCATCATCTTTCAATTCCACTGATGTTTCACTGTCTTGGACAGTAGCATTCTGACCAGACTCCTTATCATCTTTTACATTTTCAGGACCTGTGCCTTCCAAAGTTGAATGTTCAACTGATTTGCAAAATGAGGCTAACATTGATTTATTGTTCTCTTTAGATATATCAGAATAAAGCACCAATTCAGCAGATTTCCCATCCTCAGTTTCTTCACCTTCTGCCCCTCCATGCTCAGCTGAAGAATCCAGTCTTCCTAAACACTCTCTGTAACTATGTCTCGTTAGGCACTCCAGAAGCGGTATCTTGGCCATGATAGAAACAGCAGAAGCCAAGCTTTGTTAAAAAGGGTGAAAAGAAAAAAACATCAGTATACAGAAGCCACTGTGACAAACACTTTGATACAAACCACCTGCAGTATAAAGTACTACTTATTTTAGAATTGAAGCTGATTTCAAACCTAAACTGGTAACTATCCTTTCAGAGTACTGTATTCAGTATCAACATCATGAGAACAGCTGAAAAGTTCTTACTCTCTTTCACTGCTGAATATGAAGTCTTCTATACTTCCAAGTAAGCTTATGTTTTTCATGCAATAAAAAAAGACAATTTGATGAACTGATACATGCCCTTTTTTTGTTTTTAAACACACAACTGGGACTTCCATCTTCCCAATCTGCATAGAAACCTATGCTTACAGCTAGAGTGTCCTCTAGCTGACTACTTCTGTGGAGCTTGAATAGTTTTCTATGTATTTGGTAAAAGCTGTGAACTTCTTTTAAAAAGTATAACATATTTATGCTTTATTTCTTTAAGTATCCAACACCCACTTACATTCTGTTACGTAAAGCACACACCAAAATACCCTAACACTACAAAGTCCAGAAAGATGTCAGAGATTTCCCTTGAAGTAACATCCAGAATTTGCAGGATACATGTATACACATACACACACAATATATACACACACCCTAAAAGGTATACATGTACACCCAACGTTTGTTATGACTTCATATTTTCAACATAGATCATTCTTAACACCATCTCGAGTGTATTAAAAAGCTATGACTTCAGAAGTGCAAATATGTATTTTAAATTGTTGCTTAATGTCCAATTTTATTATCTCACTATTTCTAGTGTGCATTCGTAAAGACTCCAGCCCTTAAAACAGCTGTTCATTAACAAGCCTGTCTTTGATATAATTTAATACAGATTTGTGTGCTGATGAATACAATGAAAAAATGCCAGTTAAAAAAGTGACTGGCATAGAACAGAATTAATGTTCTCTGTGACACATAACCAGACAAATACACGCTTGATTAATTAGAACTAGCACCAGACATACAAGATTCAAGTAAGTTTATAATACAGTAACTTTGGAGATTGAGGCTGAAGTTTAACGTCAAACCTACTGTGTAAGTTTCAACTTGATATCATCTATGGACTGCAAATAGCTTGAATATACATTTTCAAACTTGAAAAGTAGTTTTTGGTAAGAGTATGTACAGTCTTCCAAGTTGGCCATTATGGCAGCCCAGCCTTGATGCTGAAGATGTTCATCATGTACAAGACCTTCACAAAAGGAGCAAAGCTTCTTGGCAACCTCATACATTTCCTGCAAAAAAATAAATTCCAAGAAAAAAGCAAATCACTTCAGATATTAATATTTCATACAGTTACCACAGTAAAGTGAGACATTTAAAAAATATTAACATAAAAAGTATTAGATTTAGATAGTAAAAAGTTTACACCTTAAAACTTCAACCAAAAAGAGTGAAGCTTCCTTTATTCTCAAATAAAAAGTCTGATTAGATGTCATAAAGACATATAGTCAATTTACTGAGAAATATCTTCCAATAGGCAGGTGAAAGTTGCAGTTCAAAAAAATCCTATAGAATTAAACACTGCTAATGTAAAATATTCGGTGCACACATCTGAATAATAATACTTGTACTAATCTGAAAGAAGGAGCTGGCAAACAAGGTCCATTCAGGAGAATGCTACTGACAAGCCAAGCAGAAGCTCAGAACAAGAAAATGAATTGCAGGATCAGTCAGCAGAAGCGCAGGTACATCAGATGCAAGAAGAGACGCACAAGGAAAACAACAGAGCAGATAATTGACATCTTCCACTGAGATTAATAAAACCAATAGAACATCATCCACAAACTCTGAAACACACCCTGAAACTTAGTATATGCAAACCAACATGGAAGCTTTTCTCTTAAACAACTGAACCACACAGGCATTTTACTGCCTTAAGAAGGTTACCACACAGCTACGCAGAGTTAAAACAGAGACTACATATGGCAAGTACCATATCTTACTAAAATTGCATTAACATCAATGCCTATTATATTGAATTCAAAAGTTCTAACTAGTAGGAAGAGAAACTATTTTGTTTACCATTTTAAGAAAACAAGATTGCCCCCCCCCAAAGGGCCTACTGCTCCAACATCAAAATAAGAAAGTAAAACAAAAGTCATACAATAAAACCTTCAACTCAATACTTTGCCAATAACATCCTATACAGAAAACATTCTCAAGTATACAAGCATCCGTGTATGTTGGGTTTTAATATCTACCTACCCTCCAACAAAGAAATCTTACTAATTTTTGCAGGTTGGACATACTGTTAAACCAGGACTGAACACAATTTTGCTTTGCTATACTACATGTGAGAAAACCACGCATAGTGAAACAAGGTATACAAATACAGTGAGAAAACTGTTAAAAACCCAGCACATCGGTATGTTTCAGAATGCATTTGCTGCTGAACACATGGTTAGCAGCACGTATACATACACAAAAAAATTTAGAGCCCAACAACATTTATCTTCCCCAAATAAACCACAAAACTGCAGAGCATTTTATTCAAACACTTCAGAATTAACATCAACAAAACCTAAAAGTTGTAAACGTCCTCCCTTTTTTTAAGAGGCAAGCCTTGGCTCAAGCAGCATGACAAAATTCCACTGTCCTTCAAATCACTGGCACCTAAGCTACCAGCAGATGAACAATGAATAGAAATATACATTCATGTAACCCCACGGAAATCAAAAGCTATTATAAATTTCTATCACTCCGTAGTAAAGACGTCTTCTTGTTTTTTGAACTTTGGTCACAGTCTATGCACATGAGAATACGAATTTCTGGTTTGAAAATAACAGTTATTTGCTGCATGAGCTCTCACTTCCTAAATGAAAATCAAGTGATAACACAACTGGGACAGCAACCAGATAGTCTGAAGAAAACAGTGCTGAAATCTGCAAGTTATCTCCAGTTCATCTATACAATTTAAATTCACGTAAGCACATTAATGCATTACTGACAACCCGAAAAATTTTTTATTATTCACTTTGTACACAAGTTACTCAAAGGCAAATTCCAAAGCATAGAAAAAAGCAAAATTACTAAATGATCATATTAAAAACCAGAAGAACAGGCTGTTTTACTCTAAGGTACACTAAAAATATACATCAAAAACGTGAGGCTGAAAAGGTAACCAAATGTCCCCATTGTGTTCTAATGTTTGTCCTGGGAATGTATACAAGCATTTTACTTTTAACTCAAACACTATTCTCCTCCCAAAGTCAACCCTCCTCCAAACTACTGGCAATAATTCCAGAAGTGAGAGCATATGCAGAAGCACACATTAGTTTGAAGACTAAAACAATATAAGCTATCTACAAAATCAAAACTGATTAAAGTCTTTTTATAGAGCTCTTTCAAGTAAGTATCACAGTTTACTGGCAAAAGCAGGACTTCTCCCACCTTCAACAAAAAAAATTTATTTAAAACCCCTGGGTAGAGGTTTTTGTTAATCTATTTTCTTTTGGACAAACTCACTTAACACAGCACAACTTAAAAGTGTAATGAAGAAATGTATATGCTAGGCTTGACATGACCAGACTTTCCACCCTGTGACATACTCTTAACTAGCGGCCAGTGTTTGCTTTTTTAGCTACATCTTTTTGTGTTCACAGTGGGAGTCAAAATCTACAAGTTAGTGTTGTCCTATGAAGCTTTATTATAGGTCACTCTTGATGGTCCCTTGAGAAGCTAACCGTTGTCAGTTTAAGATTTTAGTTTTAACAAGGTTGTTTCCTCAGCAGAACACTTTCAAACACAAAACAGGAGTCACTAGTTCCCAAATTTTACTGGGGGGGTGGGGGTGGGGTGGTGGAAATCATTACAGTTGAGATCACTTGTTACACTACTGATGACCAACCAGCACTGACACTGTATCTCAGAGTCTAACCCATAGTGATTTAGCTAAATTTAACAAAACCATGGAACAGAAGGGCATTCTAATGTGTGTCAGGATCCATCATATAACAGAGACATGCCCCAAGGAACCGTTACATAAACCCAAAAATACCCCAATGCCATCTAAGTATTCAGTAAGGTATGCACTGTCACATGAGCTGCAGCTCCTTGTTGTATACGCAGGAGACGTGGACATTAAAACAAAAAAAATCCCCTTATGAAAGCAGTCATAAATACGATGCCGAGAGACAAAAGATTTTTCTGAACAATTTAGAGCGCAAACTGAACTATCCCTGAACTCAAAATTCATCACCCTGAAAACACAGCTAAGGTTCTTTCAAATAACATGTTTTCAAAGTTACCTGCAAGCCAAATTGTACAATTCAGACATGACTGTTTCAGGGCAGATATTACAACAGCATTCCATATTATTGTCCTCCCAAAGTTATTTTTACATGTGTATCCCACGTGCCAAAGAAATTCCGTCTGGGTGAGGGAACATGGACGAACCCAAATGCAATTAGAGTCTGCAGGAACCCAGAATCTCTTTCAGTGCTGGTTCCATAAGCAATATAAAGAAATAAGCTCATTACATTCAAATAGGAAGGAATACTACTCTGAACTCATCAGAGGATCCAAGTAGCTTGTTTTAACAAAGTTCCAATCACATGGAGTAACTATTCGTACACTTACCAGAGCCGTTCCAGCCTTACACTATAGAAAGCAGATAACAGAGCAGAACAAGAACACTATGTTAAACCATTATTTTACTTTTTAACACTGCAGGGAGGAGGGAAGGAGAAAGAGTCAATCCTACAATCCTGCTTTCAAAATGTGAGGAAGAAAATGAAGAAGTGGTGAAGCTTTACTTCCTCTAAAGTATCTATGTAGCTTAAAAGTAGTCAAGAAATTAAAAACCACACAGATATATCTTATTATTCCCTCACTACTGAAATATATCAAGTGATTTGGCTTGTTCTTCCTACCATCTCCATAGACAACATTTCTGAGGAGACCTGCTCAGGCTACTTTAGAAGGATAAAGACCAATCTATTTCACACAACCAGCATGTCTGTATGCAGAAAATAATTAAGCAGCTCTCTGCTAAATGAATAAAGTATAAAAACTGAATTAGGTCAGGTGTATAAATGAAGGTCTGCAATCAAACATATAGAATCATAGAATCATTTGGGTTGGAAGGGACCTTAAGTGTCACCCAGTTCCACCCCCCCTGCCATAGGCAGGGACACCTCCCACTAGACCAGGTTGCTCAAAGCCTCGTCCAGCCTGGCCTTGAACACTTCCAGGGATGGGGCATCCACAGCTTCTCTGGGCAACCTGTTCCAGTGCCTCACCACCCTCTCCGGGAAGAACTTCTTCCTGATATCCAAACTAAACCTCCCCGCTTTCAATTTGAACCTGTTACCCCTTGTCCTGTCACTACAGGCCCTTGTAAAAAGTCCCCCCCAGCTTCCTTGTAGCCCCTTCAGGTACTGGAAGGTGCAGTAAGGTCTCCCCGGAGCCTTCTCTTCTCCAGACTGAACAAGCCCAACTCTCTCAGCCTGTCCCCATAGCAGAGGTGCTCCAGCCCTCTGAGCATCTTCATGGCCTCCTCTGGACTCGCTCCAACCAGTCTATACCCTTCTGATGTTGAGGGCTCCACAGCCGGATGCAGCACTCCAGGTGGGGTCTCACGAGAGCAGAGTACAGGGGGAGAATCACCTCCTTGACTTCTCAGTAAAGTTGCAAGCTTTAGCACAGAAAATGGAACCTGCCTAACAACAGATCTACTCAAGGGTATCTGGCAGACACCCAATGGTTCACAGTACATAAAAGTTAACTTCAGTTGTCCGGCAGAGCTATGTCCCTCTTACCTGGCTACACCAGCATACCTACAACACTGACAGCTTTACCATGCCACTGGAATGTGGACCTCAAGGAGCACCACTACCAGTACAAAACTAGACAAACCCAGACTAATCTCAATTTGCTCTTATGTTGAAGAGTAAATAAAGGCATCTTCACTTCCTAACTTGTCAAGAAATTCACAGGCCCACCAGAAAGCTTATCCTTGGTTGAGTGCTTTAACGGAATGTTTACTTGAATTATTTCCTTCAATCATCGTAACTTAAAATTTAGGCGATTCTTCTGATTATAATTACTTCCGTTCAGTATGTTTCAACCAAAGTCAGTAGAAGGAACAAACTATGTTTTATCTAAAATGGAAATTAACTTGTAAAGGATTTCCCATTAGTTTCAAGACATTGTCTTTGCACCCTATTGTTATAGTTCTGCTTATCCATATTAAAAAAATCCAGAGAATATCTGTTTGTCTTAACTGGTCTTC